AAACAATTATTTAGTGATTTTGGACAACATGAACCTGGATATGACTCAACAGCTTGATGTGGCTGTCAAAATAATGAATTCAACCTCTAGTTGCATTGCTAATAACAGTGCTCATATTTATTAAATACTGCCCCTGGCCATGTACTAGGCCGTATTCTAAGTACTTTACATGTATTAACTCATTTTACCTTCACACCAAACTTATAAGGTGTGTGTGATCAGAACTGAGGCTCTGAAAGGTTAAAGATCTTGCCCAGAGTCACAGCAGCCAGAATGTGGTGATTAACTGGGAGGTGTCCTCTGACTGCTTCTGGCTACACCTTGACCTTCCCTTAGGTTCATTAAATGTGTCTGTACAAGCAACGCGGAGGAGTCTAAGTTCACGTAACCTCCATTATTCACATGAGTGGTTCTCACATAATGTGCGAAGTGTCCACCTGGGGAATTTGGTGGTGTGGAGAAAATTCCCACACCCATACTGAGAGATGATAATTCAGAATCAGCATCTTAAACATCTGTCTTGAGTGATTCTGATGTCAGGTGATCCTGATCCTCTGGGGATGCTCTAGAAACACGAGTTGAAACATTCTTTACAGCAATCCAAGATCAGCTTAAAATGAGATGTTTTAAGTGAAGGAAAATAGGCCTGTCCCAGAGTCTCAGAAGAGGGATACAGAAGAAACCTTTCTCACACACACACCACACACATACACACACAGAAACAACTTGCCCCTAAGGCTTTCATAAAAGAAAGGTTCAAAATCATGTACAATTGTGGAGAATATTAATTTTGTATTTATACACCTAGATGTTACTTGTTACTTTTTTACAATGGTTTTGTTGTTTTTATAACAGGCCTAAAAATAATGATACATCTAGTAAAAATGCTATCTTAGAAGAATATTGTAACACTAGAAAGCTGCAAAACATAATTTTTTAAATTAGCAGACTTAATTTTTTTAGAGCTATTTTAGGTTCACAGCAAAATTGAAAGGAAAGTACAGAGAGTTCACAAATACTTCCCACCCTCACATACACACATAGCCTCCTCAGCAACATCAGGGACTCCCATCAGTGTGGTATGTTTGTGACAATCAATGAACCAACACTGACACAGCATTATCCACAGAAGTCTAGAGTTAGCATTAGGGTTTACTCTTGGTGTGTTACAATCTACAGATTTTGACAAATGTATAAGGATATGTATCCAGCATTATAATATCATACAGAGTAATTTCACTGTGCTAAAAATCCCTCACTCATTCATCCCACCCTCTCTACTGCTCACCATGAATCCCTGGATACCACTGATCTTTTTACTGTCTCTGTGGCTCTGCTCTTCCACAAGTCATATAGCTGGGATCATATAGTGTGCAGCATTTCAGATTGGCTTCTTTCACTTGGCAATAGACACTTAAGGTTCCTCTGTGTCATTTCATGGCTTGATAGTTCACTTATTTTTATCACTGAATAATATACCATTGTATGCATGTACTATATAGTTTCTTACATCTTGGTTGTTTCCATGTTTTGGCAATTATGAGTAAAACTGATATAAATATTTGTATACAGGTTTTTGAGTGGATTTAAGTTTATACCAATACAGACAAATACCAAGGTGTGTGATTGCTGGATTGTTGGTATGAGTATTTGGCTTCACAAGAAACTATAATTGTCTTCCAAAGTGGCTGTACCATTTTGCAGCTCCACAAGCAATGAATGGGAATTTCAGTTACTCCACATCGTCATCAGCATTTGGTGTTGTCAGTGTTTTTTACTGTATACATTCTAGCAGGTGTGTACTGGTATCTCACTCGTTGTTTTAATTTGTAATTCCTAATGACACATGATGTTGAGCATTGTTTCACATGTGGCTGGCCATCATTATCATCTTTGGTAAACTATTCATATATTTTGCCAAATTTTAAATCAAGTTGTTCATTTTCTTATTGTTGAGTTTTAAGGGTTCTTATTTTAGATAACAGTCCTTTACCAGATATGTCTTTTGCACATATTTTATATAAGCTTATGGTTTTCTATCTCATTCTCTTGAAAATGTCTTTTGCAGAGCAGAAATTTTTAATTTAAATGAAGTCCAGTTTATTACGTTTTTTCTTTAAAGGATCATGCCTTTGATTTTTGTATGTAAAGTGTCATCACCAAACCCAAGGTCATGTAGACTTTACCCTATGTTATCTTCTAAGAGTTTCTTAGTTTTGTCTTATATATTTAGATGTATGATCATTGTTTTGCATGTAGATGTCCAATTGTTCACACCGTTTGTTGAAAACACTCTCCTTTCTCCATTGAACTGATATTACTCTTTTGTCAAAGATCACTTGACTAATTTATGTGGGTCTATTTCTGGGCTATTTTCTTCCATGTACTTATTTGTCTATTCTTCCACCAATACCACACTCTATCGTTTACTGCGGTTTTATAGTACATCCTAAAATTGAGTAGTGTCAATCTTTCAACTTTGTTCTTCTCTAATATTTTGTTGGCTTCTCTGGGTCTATTGTCTTTCCATATCAAGTTTAGAACCTCCTTGTTGATATCCACAAAATAAAATTTGCTGAGATTTTGATTGGAATTACACCAAATTTATATATCAAGTTGGAAAGAACTGACACCTTAATATTGTTTCCTACTCATGAATATGGAATACCTTTCCATTTGCTCAGTTTTTATCTCTTCCATCAGAGTTTCATAATTTTCCTCATAAAGATTTTGTACATATTATATTTATACCTAAGTATTTTTTGTGTGTGCTAATGTAGGTGGTATTACATTTTAAATGTCAAATTCTGATTGTTCATTACTGGTAATTGGGAAGTTGAGTGACTTCTGTACATTAAACTTGTATCCTGCAAACTTGCTATACTCAGTATTCATTCCGGGAAAATTTTTGGCTGATTGTTTTAGGTTTTCTACAAAGATGATCTTGTCCTCTGTGAACAAAGACATTTCTTTGTTTTCAACAGAAATACTTTTAAATTCTTTTCTTGTCTAATTGCATTAGCTGGGACACGCAGTACAATATTGAAAAGGAGTAGTGAGAAGAGATATCCTTCCCTTGAGCCTTGTCTTAACAACCTCTAGTTTCATTCCATTAAGAACGGTAATAGCTTTACATTTCTGCGGATATCCTTAATTCTTTTGAGGATGTTCTCCTCTCTTCCTAGTTTGCTGAGACAATACAATCTTTTTTTAAAAAATTTTTTATTAAGGTATGATTGATATACACTCTTATGAAGGTTTCACATGAAAAAACAATGTGGTTACTACATTTACCTATATTATCAAGTCCCCACCCATACCCCAATGCAGTCACTGTCCATCAGTACAGCAAGATGCCACAGATCCACTATGTGCCTTCTCTGTGCTACACTGTTCTCCTGATCCCCCATACCATGCATACTAAACATAACACCCCTCAATCCCCTTCTCCCTCCCTCTACACCCACCTTCCCACACCTCTCCCTTTTGGTAACTACTAGTTCATTCTTGGAGTCTCTGAGTCTGCTGCCATTTTGTTCCTTCAGTTTTGCTTCATGGTTATACTCCCCAATTGTGGGAAATCATTTGGCATTTGTCTTTCTCCACCTGGCTTATTTCACTGAGCATAATGTCTTCCAGCTCCATCTATGTCGTTGGAAATGGTAGGATTTGTTTCTTTTTCATGGCTGAATAGTATTCCATTGTGTATATGTACCACCTCTTCTTTATCCATTCATCTTCTGATGGGCACTTAGGTTGCTTCCATATCTTGGCTATTGTAAAAAGTGCTGTGATAAACATAGGGTGCATAAGTCTTCTTCAATCTGAGAAGTTGTATTCTTTGGGTAAATTCCAAGGAGTGGGATTCCTGGGTCAAATGGTATTTCAATTTTGAGTTTTTTGAGGAACCTCCATATTGCTTTCCACAAATGGTTGAACTAGCTTACATTCCCACCAGCAGTGTAGGAGGGTTCCCCTTCTCTGCATCCTTGCCAGCATTTGTTGTTCTTAGTCTTTTTAATGCTGGCCATCCTTACTGGTGTGAGGTGATATCTCATTGTAATTTTAATTTGCATTTCCCTGATGATAAGTGATGTGAAGCATCTTTTCATGTGTCTGTTGGCCATCTGAATTTCTTCTTTGGAGAACTGTCTCTTCATATCCTCTGCCCATTTGTTAATGAGGTTATTTGCTTTTTGGGTGTTGAGGCGTCTAAGTTCTTTATATATTTTGGGTGTTAAACCCTCAGACAATACAATCTTAAACCTAAAAAGCATTAACAAAAGTAGTGTAGGCAATTTGATTCTGATTTTGTGAAAAATGTATTTTACATTAATAAGGGTGGAAGGGAATACACATAATTCTAAGTAGTCTTTTTTGGCTGGATAATGGTTATTTTCTTCTTTACATATTTCTGTATTTTTTAAATTTGCCCAGTTAACTGGTATTTTTTATGAAACGAAAACATGAAGCATGATTAGGTGTTCTGGACAGAACAGCTTGCGGACTGAAAAAACAATTAAAGCCTAAATTAAACGTAAATCTAAGAGAGAACTAATATATTAACTGTGCCATCAATGAGAAAGCAGGTTCTCTGAGGGCCAGGCCTGACTGAAGTATCCCCAAGCCTAATAAATAAATCAATTCACCTGTGCCTCAGCTTTGCCTATGAAACGCCACTTGTTTGGCACTCGGAGCACGGTTTTTGTGGATGTGGAGCCAGGTTTCTGTTTTTCCAAGTAGTCTTATTCATTATTTTAGAATGAGGTGAGAAAGGGAGAGGAGGGTAGCGAGGGAGAGAGGGAAGGGGAGGTTTGAGAGATTGAAACTGAACTACTGAACTCGAAGCAGAAGGCCTGGCAAGCCACAAGAGAGGGGACGGGGTGCGGGCCCCACGCCCCAAGGTTGCCGGGCGGACCGCGGGAGCCGAGCGCATGCCCTGGGCGGGAAGAGGGTAGCAGCGCCCCCGCCTGGCTCCTGTGATCCTGGCCGGCACATCCCGCCCGCCAGGTGCCTCGAGAGTGCCCTCGGCTCCGGAGCTCCGGGCCCCGCGGCTCCCCCGCCGCGCCGCGCCGCGCCGGGGGGCGGGGGGCGACCTCGACAGGAGAGGGTCGCGGCGCGCGCTCTGCCCCGTGGCGTTTCACCGCAGCGAGCGCCGCGGACCGGCTGGAGCCGGCTCAGCCGCCGCGCCTGAGTCGCGCCGCCGCGGACGGGCTCGGGGACTGCGGGCGCGGGCGCGCACGGGCGGCGGGCGCCGTGTGGACCCTCAGCGGGCAGCGCGCCCCTTCGCCCGGGGCTGCGCCTGCGGACGGTTCTGGCCCCTGGCCCCTCAGCTTTAAGCCTGGGTGCCTCCGGCCCTACTCTACCGTTGCCTATGGGGATCCGAGAGTTTCCCGGCGGCGCACCCAGGGGCAAAAGCATCGCCATGTGAGTAGCGCCCGGGTGGCCCTCTGCAGCCGGGACGTCGGGTAGTCTGGGTCTCGGGAAGGGGCGGCGCGCGGCGGAGCTGCTCGGGAAGTTAGGGCATCCTCTCCCTTCGCCGCTCTCTCCGACCTGCGCTGTCCCTGGTGTCCAGGGGCGGACTCGGGAGTCAGACGGGACCCGACGCCCAGGCTGCCGGGGGCGCTGGGGTGGGCGGCGGGAGACCGGAGGGGAGCAGCGCCAGCCGTTCGGCGGCACCTGCCCCTGGAGAGCCAGGGCTGCGCTCTTGCTTGCCCTCTGGTCGGCTCCTCACCAGAGTCCCCTCGTCTCTCCCTCCCCGCCCACCTGCCCGCGGCCTCAGTGGCATGAGGAGGTCACCGGACGTCAGCCCCCGGAGACTTTCCGACATCAGCCCTCAGCTGCGGCAGCTCAAGTACTTGGTGGTGGACGAGGCGATTAAAGAGGATCTGAAATGGTCGCGCTCCGTGGAGGACCTCACCAGCGGGCCCGTGGGGCTCACGTCCATCGAGGAGCGGATCCTGCGCATCACCGGCTACTACGGCTACCAGCCCTGGGCGGCGAGCTACAGAAGTAAGACCCCTCCCCTCATTTACCTCGTCGCCGGTCCGACCCCCCTAGAGCTGTGCCAGCAGCCTGGGAGACGCGCAGCCATGCACCCGGCCGCCGTCTCTCCCCACCCCCCACTTTCCTGTCCGCAGACACAGACCTGGGTCTGCAACTTTTAAAAGAGGCCTGGAGACAGAGTACTCCTGGACCTTTGGAAATTTATGATCCATTCTCTTACCCTTCCCACACACGTCTCCCCATCCAAATCCCCTTGCTCTTGAGATAGACAGTAAGGGAGACAGACTGGAAGCTCAGTGCGTCCTGCACTGTGTATCTTCCCTGTGGGTTTGAAAGTGTAACTTGCCTCTGGTGGGTCGGGGCTCAGCTTGCTGTTAGAGACTGCACACTTAGCCCGCCTGGATTTTAACTCTTCCCTCTGTCTCCTGAGCCAGGAGGATGAAGGACAGTTCTTGGGGCCTACATTTTGGATGTCATTCTCTCCCTTTGCCCCAGGTCTTCATCTTTCCTCAAAATAGAGGTTATGTATGGCTAATTCTAGATACTGGCATTTGATCCCCTCGAGCTAAATGGTTAGTGCCAGGTGGAGAAGCTGAAACTTTTCTTTGCCAGTGGGCCCCAGCTGATACCACAGTGGGCTGTGGCAATTTCTGTGATCAGTTATGCAAACATTACCTGTGCGACCAGGACTAATTTGATGGACATTTTATTTTCTCACTTTGGATGGAAGTAGTTGGCTACAACAAAACTCCATACACCTGTAATTGTAAACCATAATTAGGTGGTTCCATCAGTACCATTTGACATGGCAAAAAAGATTGTCATTTACCACCTCAGTCAGTATAGGAAATGAGTATTGCTTCATTCCATTTGTAGTAGATACTAATAGCTTAATGATGGTGAAGTGTTTTTACCCTTCATTGCTTGAATTTGGAATGTACTTTATTGGTCCTTAGGAAAAAGAATCAGGCTTCTGCAAATTAATCATATTCAGCTCTGAAAATATATCTATCTTTAGTTTTTTCCAAAATCTTGATTCCAAGCCAGAGGTCAATGGTGTGCTACCAGTTAGCTTGTTACTTTATTTGCAGGAAGAAACATAGGATTTTAATGTTTTGTTTTTATGCCCTTGTTTTTAAAGGGACCTTGGTGATTGCATTTACCTTTGTATAAACCTTTAAAAGGTTATCTGTGTTTCCTCCAATCTGCTTCTGCTGCTAAAATTGTAGCTGATAAATTGGCTTTGAATCACAGAAGACAAGGAAGCAAGTTCTTTTTTCATTTGGTAAACACTGGGCATAGAGTAACAAGAATGAAAGCCCATTGGAAACCATTTCTCTTATAGATAAGGATTGGACACTCAATTTCTATTTCTGCCTTCTGAATTTCTATTAGAAATCTTCCACATCTTATTCCTGTGCCCTGCTTTCTTAGTAATTAAAGACAATGGTACAAATGACTGCCTTCATGGAGTCATCTGTTCAGCCCCTGAAGTCATAATAAGGCTCGTCATTACAAGTCGATTTGTGACTGGCCCCACGTGCCTCATAGAAATTTTCACTGAGGTTTGTGACTTTGGGAACCGGTGGGGAGCTTATAGCAGTAATAACTATGCTTGGTACAAACACACTTTATAATTCAGAGAGGGTAAAGGCATATGGAATAAGAGCCTCTTGTACCACTGGTAGTATTTTTAAACACCCTTTCTCTGAGGCTTCAGTCAAGCAATAAACATTAGCAGACAAGACTACAGTGATTGTTGTGAGATGAATAAAGTCAAAGTCACCTCACTCCACACTCTATTCCTGTGAAGATTCTTCTGTATTCCAAGGTATTTCCTTCTTACTAAAATGCTTTAGGTGACAACTGACATTTTGATGGATTAATTGGATTTTAAGCTTAAATTTAGAGAAGCTAATGTTTTATTAATATAGCCAAAGACATTTTAGGGCAGTACTTTGGCTGTTTGCCATTTCTACCCAACTAGGAAAAAGTAATAAAATAAAGAGGGTTATCTATATGTTGGTATCAGTCATTTTGTCTGTTGGTTAATAATCACACCCACCAAACTGGGAGAAATAATGACTGCAAAGTAAATGTTCTTTTCATGGTCTCCATAGCAAATTATGGAATGCTCCAAGCTTTAATCCTTGATGTTCTGTCGCCTTTTAGTCATCTTTCAAAGTGGCTTAACTATGTCCCCATTGCAGGAGCTGCCTGGTGAGTTTTTAAGACTACTTAAGCAGTATAAGTGAGCTGCTTTTGTAGTAGCAGAAAGTATCTGAATGGCCAAATTTTCTTATTGTCTTAATTTTCTTATTGTCTTAATTTTTTTACTTTGTTTTGGGCAGTTAAGTTAGAGGGGGATAATTGTGAATAGTGCAGAATCATCTTTGCTCACTCTTCTCAGCCCTGTCAGTGAGATGAACAGGTTTCACTCCAGACAATGGATTTCTGGTTACTGGAAGCTCAGTGCGTCCTGCACTGTGTATCTTCCCTGTGGGTTTGAAAGTGTAACTTGCCTCTGGTGGGTCGGGGCTCAGCTTGCTGTTAGAGACTGCACACTTAGCCCGCCTGGATTTTAACTCTTCCCTCTGTCTCCTGAGCCAGGAGGATGAAGGACAGTTCTTGGGGCCTACATTTTGGATGTCATTCTCTCCCTTTGCCCCAGGTCTTCATCTTTCCTCAAAATAGAGGTTATGTATGGCTAATTCTAGATACTGGCATTTGATCCCCTCGAGCTAAATGGTTAGTGCCAGGTGGAGAAGCTGAAACTTTTCTTTGCCAGTGGGCCCCAGCTGATACCACAGTGGGCTGTGGCAATTTCTGTGATCAGTTATGCAAACATTACCTGTGCGACCAGGACTAATTTGATGGACATTTTATTTTCTCACTTTGGATGGAAGTAGTTGGCTACAACAAAACTCCATACACCTGTAATTGTAAACCATAATTAGGTGGTTCCATCAGTACCATTTGACATGGCAAAAAAGATTGTCATTTACCACCTCAGTCAGTATAGGAAATGAGTATTGCTTCATTCCATTTGTAGTAGATACTAATAGCTTAATGATGGTGAAGTGTTTTTACCCTTCATTGCTTGAATTTGGAATGTACTTTATTGGTCCTTAGGAAAAAGAATCAGGCTTCTGCAAATTAATCATATTCAGCTCTGAAAATATATCTATCTTTAGTTTTTTCCAAAATCTTGATTCCAAGCCAGAGGTCAATGGTGTGCTACCAGTTAGCTTGTTACTTTATTTGCAGGAAGAAACATAGGATTTTAATGTTTTGTTTTTATGCCCTTGTTTTTAAAGGGACCTTGGTGATTGCATTTACCTTTGTATAAACCTTTAAAAGGTTATCTGTGTTTCCTCCAATCTGCTTCTGCTGCTAAAATTGTAGCTGATAAATTGGCTTTGAATCACAGAAGACAAGGAAGCAAGTTCTTTTTTCATTTGGTAAACACTGGGCATAGAGTAACAAGAATGAAAGCCCATTGGAAACCATTTCTCTTATAGATAAGGATTGGACACTCAATTTCTATTTCTGCCTTCTGAATTTCTATTAGAAATCTTCCACATCTTATTCCTGTGCCCTGCTTTCTTAGTAATTAAAGACAATGGTACAAATGACTGCCTTCATGGAGTCATCTGTTCAGCCCCTGAAGTCATAATAAGGCTCGTCATTACAAGTCGATTTGTGACTGGCCCCACGTGCCTCATAGAAATTTTCACTGAGGTTTGTGACTTTGGGAACCGGTGGGGAGCTTATAGCAGTAATAACTATGCTTGGTACAAACACACTTTATAATTCAGAGAGGGTAAAGGCATATGGAATAAGAGCCTCTTGTACCACTGGTAGTATTTTTAAACACCCTTTCTCTGAGGCTTCAGTCAAGCAATAAACATTAGCAGACAAGACTACAGTGATTGTTGTGAGATGAATAAAGTCAAAGTCACCTCACTCCACACTCTATTCCTGTGAAGATTCTTCTGTATTCCAAGGTATTTCCTTCTTACTAAAATGCTTTAGGTGACAACTGACATTTTGATGGATTAATTGGATTTTAAGCTTAAATTTAGAGAAGCTAATGTTTTATTAATATAGCCAAAGACATTTTAGGGCAGTACTTTGGCTGTTTGCCATTTCTACCCAACTAGGAAAAAGTAATAAAATAAAGAGGGTTATCTATATGTTGGTATCAGTCATTTTGTCTGTTGGTTAATAATCACACCCACCAAACTGGGAGAAATAATGACTGCAAAGTAAATGTTCTTTTCATGGTCTCCATAGCAAATTATGGAATGCTCCAAGCTTTAATCCTTGATGTTCTGTCGCCTTTTAGTCATCTTTCAAAGTGGCTTAACTATGTCCCCATTGCAGGAGCTGCCTGGTGAGTTTTTAAGACTACTTAAGCAGTATAAGTGAGCTGCTTTTGTAGTAGCAGAAAGTATCTGAATGGCCAAATTTTCTTTCTTATTGTCTTAATTTTTTTACTTTGTTTTGGGCAGTTAAGTTAGAGGGGGATAATTGTGAATAGTGCAGAATCATCTTTGCTCACTCTTCTCAGCCCTGTCAGTGAGATGAACAGGTTTCACTCCAGACAATGGATTTCTGGTAAGGAATTGCTTTTAAAAAATCTTAAGGGTCCCTGGGTCTTAGAGCACTGGTTTGTATGGAACATTTAACTGAGAATTAAACTATAAGCAGCAGGTAGGACAGGTCGAATTCTTCTTCTCAGCGGCTAAAGTCCTCTGAGCTTCACATTCCCTGTTTTTGACCCAAACAACTGGGCAGTATTCTTAGGAGTTCCTTGGAATTTTAGCTGTGAGTTGGTCCCAAGACCGGAAAGTGCATGGTCCACAGTAGTTGTTCAGTAAATATTTGTTGAGTGAGTGAATAGGTGCTGCCTGAAATATTGACCTCAGGGAGAGAGAACTTTTAACTGTACCTCTGAAGTGATCTGCTTCATTTAATTATGTATGCTGACTTCCTGTTAGTTT